GCCCCCCCCCCCCCCCCCGCAGGGCAAGCACTACCGCGGCTTCCTGGACTGCTTCGTGCAGATCTCTGACAAGGAGGGTGCCCTGGCGCTGTACAAAGGCCTCGGCCCGGCCTACCTGCGCCTCGGGCCCCACACCATCCTCAGCCTCCTCTTCTGGGACGAGCTGCGGAAGCTCACCTACCAGCACCAGGGGACCTGAACGCCGGCCGTGGAAACGCCACGCTTTCTCCTGCCGCCGAGGACGCTGGGACTGGGACTGCCAGCAGGCCCCGTGGCCGGCCGATTCCAGGCAGCTCTGGGCGCCCGAACCGGCTTCGCCACGTGCCCGCGCCGTGGCCAGAGACCTGCGGGGCTGCTCCTGGGGGCGGAACGCCGCCGCTCTGCCCCACTCAGATTAGGTGTGGCCGGGAATAGACTTGGCAGCGCTGGCAAAGCCGGAAGCCCGCGTGGCACCTGGCCGGACTGCGACCGCCCAGCAGCTCCGTTGCTTCATCCGGGACCTTCTGGGAGCAGACTTGGAGGGCTGGTGCCCCTCGCGCTGCGGCGTACCTCTGCGGGCGGAGAGTTAGTGCTGTGTGGACGGACCTCTTGCCGCCTTCCCGCGCGCCTCGACTCGACCCCAGACCCTGGCCCCGAGGGGTGTGCCGAGGGTCACCAGATTTCCAGCCCTCCAGGAGCGAGCGGGTGCGAGCAGGCGTGGGTGGGGTGGGGTGGGCTCCGACCAGGCTCGGCCCTCCGGCCGGTGGCGTGGGGTCCGGGGCTGGCACGGGCCCCGCAGGGCTGCTGCCACCCTCGTGTGTCTCTCTGCAGAGGTGAGGAAGGAGGAGGCAGTAGGCAGGGCTGTGATGGAGCAAAAGTGAGAGGAGGACGACGGGAAAGAGCGGGAGGAGAGGAGAGGAGAGGAGAGGACACAGTCGTGAAGTAAGTTGCGTCGATCAGGGCCGAGCTGGAGACGGGGTGGTAGAGTCCTCTTCTGCGATGAGCAAGCTGAGCGCCTCCCAGAAGGTGGGCTCAGGCCTCGGAAAGGTGGAGGGGGCATCACCAGACGCCTCGCGTCAGCCCCTGGGCCGGGGAAGCGGGAGAAGGCACTTGCCGCCATGGGGGAGCCCTGTCGTGGGGCAAAGGGTTGAGCCACCCAGAGGCCCGAGGAGCCAGACTGAGCCTGTGCCCGGTCCTTCGCGTCGCACACCTGCCCGGACCCAGAGCCTCTGCCGCTCAGCGGGGCCCGAGGGGCCGTCTGGGAGTCGTTGCCGCAAGCGGAACCCGGCCCTGCCCTGCTCGGGCTACCCAAATAAAAGGCAGCGGTTTCCCGTGTCGTCTGCTTGTGCACTCCTGCATCGAAGCGTCCCGTTCGTTTCCTGGGCTTCCCCTTCGCTGGGGTGGGCCACAGGCTTCCTCCTGCCTCCCTCCGCCACCCTCCGCCACGTGGGGCGCGGCAAGCACAGGGCCGGCCGGACTCGCGCTCTGGGCTGCACATGAGTCAGAGCTGGCCGTGCCGTCGGCCCAGCCTGGCCAAGGGGCGCAGGAGCATGGCCGAACCTCACGGGCTTGTTGTGCGCATAGCAGAGACCCCGGAGCTGGGGAGTGGAAGATGGAACGGCTCCAACGAGCGCTGTGTGGAAACACAACACCGCACTCCCACGGGAGTGTCGCAGAGCGCGCACACGCCCCGCTTGGGCTGTTCAGCTCGGCCCGGCGCTTGCGAAGGCCACGTGGTGCCACAGCCCTGCCCCACGTCTCTCGAAAGCCAGCCCCGCGGGGCCGCGAGGGAAGCCTTGGGGAGGCGGAGCCGCCCTGCCTCGGCCCCGGCAGGACCCCCAGCAGCGCGTGCGCTCCCGTCTCCCGCGTGCCGGGCTGCAGCTCCCGGAGCCGTGGCGGACAGAGAGGATGGGAGCTGCTGTCCAGACATCCGGAAGGCCCCAGGTGGGGAAGGTCGGGCTGCTCTGAGACTCTCGCCCCCCACAGTCCTCCTGGGAGTGTGTTGCCCAGAGGCAGCTGTTCCTGATGATTCAGAGGCGGCTGCAGGCGGCATCAGGTGTCGCCAAGAGCGAACTACCGAGCCAGGCTCTGCCCCTTCGCCTGCCAGGAGGCCCCTCCGAGCAGCAGGGGCCGCAGCCAGGTGAGCAGCACCGTCCGCCTCTCCGCCTGTGCCGGGCGCGTTCCAGGGGCTGCCGCAGCGCATCAGCCTTTGGCGTCGCTCCAGCCACCCCGGGATGCTTCCGTTCTCCACAGGGGGAGGACGCGCTCCAGTGTGTGGCGAGCTGCCAGACACCCCCCCCCACACACACACACACACACATTCCCGGGCTGGAGCTGAGGCTGAGCCTGCGCCTCGCCTCTTGGGGTGCCAGCCTCTGGGCTGGCAAAGCAACGGGGGGGCGGGGGGGCCGCCGAGGGCGGTCCAGCATGCTTTGCCACGGCAGGAGGCTCTGGCAGGCGAGAGCCCGCTTTCATCAGATGCTCCAAGTCCTGTCTTCAGCTGACCGGAAGGATCGATCGCCAGTGCGAGGCTGGAGCAGAGAGATCGGCAGCACGGCTAAGTGGCCGAGAGATGCGGCAGTGCAGCCCAGACAGTTCTAGGGGACGCCTTGCGGAAAGCCCGTGGCGCCATGGGTTCCTCTTCCCTCCTGTGCCCCTTTGCCTCGTGTGCTGTGACTTTTCGATTATACGTTCACGGGGAAGGCTGTCTCGTTTAGCGATTGATGATAAGCAGCTCCAGGAGCCTTTTCTGGCTGAGGAATTCGAAAGATACGTAGTCGGCATCCTAGTAAGCTTACACCGTGCAGCAGGCCACTCCGGCCGTGTCTCCCCTGCCCGCCCGCATCTTCATGTCTCCACACAAACGCAAGCAGCGCTTCACACCTCGGACGAGCCCGTCTCTCGCCTGTCCGCTCCTCCGCCCAAAGAGGCCCGCAAGCCCTCGGAAATGGCACTGGGGCCCGTGCTCTTGCGAGGAGGCGCCGTGACCCCTCAGGAGACGGCGTCCAAAGGGCGAGCGGGCGCCGCAGGGCCCCTGTGTGGCTTCTCCCCCGGCGGCTGGCAGAGGGGGCACGCGGTCTGGCTCCTCGGGAAGCCCTCTGCTGCCCTCCAGGGGCCGCGACGGCCATGCGCAGGCCAGAGCACCGGGCGTGGGGGCGTCACTCTGCGCCTGCGCAGCCCGGGCCAGTCCGGAGCCGGATCCCAGGTCTCCCACCCGGTGGTGACCACAGAAGGGGTGCCTGGCGAGTGTTCCCCACCACCCCGGGCCCCACGCACCTCCGGGGTCAGACTGAATCCTGCACTGGGGCTCCGGACGAGGGGCTTCCTTGGAGAGCCCGTGTGTTGAGGATGCTGGGTGGGGGGGCTGACCGTGGACTCACTGGGCACCTTGGGGCCAGCCACTCACTGGCCTACCTTGCAGGGTTGTTGTGAGGAGATAAGAGGGGGGAGGACCATGCAGGCTGCTTTGGGTTCCTTGCCAGAAGAAAAAGGGGGGGATATAAACGTGGTGTGACATTAATACTTAAATGAATAGAATTCATTCAGGCAGGATATAGCAGGGATGCCAGCGTTCACGCGGCAGACCATGAGCCCGTCGGCCAGTGCGTCACTCCCTGCCTTGTGGGGGCCAACACAGGGAAGCTCCTGCATCCCGCCAGCCGGCACTCTAACGCTCCAGGAGGCAGCTCCCTTGGCGAAGCGGAGGTGGTCGCTCGCCGCGTCCTTCTGCTCTCTGCTTGGAGGCCGCCCCCTCGCCCGGCGCAGGCCGGCAGGAGAAGGCCGTGCAGGACGCCCCGGAGCACGCGAGGTCCCGCCTGTCCCCTCCTGCCTGGGCTCGGTCGCCAGCCCTCACTGGCGCGCCTCCCCCCGCCTCCGAGCGACCTTTGAAACCTCGCTGGGCGCGCCGGGAGAGCCGAGCCGCCCGCCCGTCCGTCCTGCACGGCACACGCGGCCCCAGGAACATGCTCTCCGGGCTCTGGGCGTCCCTGGCCTCTTGGCTGCCCAGCTTCCCCAGCCTGGCCTGGGCCTCCAGCCTGGCGGACTCCCTCTTGCAGGGTGAGCCTGGGCCGGACCCCCACCCAGGCACAGCCGGCGCCCCGGCCCGCCCCGCCCCGCCTGACCTTTGCTCTTCCCGACAGGGCTGGTGAGCGCCTGTGCCGTCTCGGTCCTCTGCAGCCTGATGAAGATCTTCCTCTACATCCAGTGCTTGAAGTGAGTGCTCGGTGGGCGCGGGCGCGGAGCGGCCCCCCTCCCTCTGGGGCGGCAGGCGACCCCAGCCCTCAGGGAAGGAAGGAGAGCCCTGGCTGGGCTGGCGGCCCGGATCCCCCTGCGAGCCCCTTCTGCTCACCCTCGGGGTTTGCGTGTGGGCAGCGTCGCCGCCGCCGCCCGAGAGGTTCTCTCTAAGCCAGAGGGGCCCTCGGCCCTGCGTGGGGGAGGGCGGCGTGGGGCCGGCCCGTGTGCTCCCTCAGCCTTCCCCAGCCGGGTGTTTCCAGGCGGGCGCCCCACAGCTCCCAGCCTGGCTGGCAAGCTGGGTGGGAGCTTGCGAAGCGAATTCGTGCAGCGGGAACAGGGCGGCCACGCAAAGGGGAGGGGTGTGTGGTTTGCTCTGCTCTTTGGGTGGCGCTTCGGCCTCGGCAGCCGCACTCAGGGGGGCTCACGGAGCCCCGTTCCTTCGCTGGCATGTCCCTGGCTCTTTCCCACCCTGAGGCTGTTCCCCACCCCCCCCCAGCGACCCCGACTGGCAGAAGGAGAAGGAGGCGATCCGGCGCCAGTGGTCGCTGCTGGACCAGCTGCACCTCCTCGTGCTGAGCGGGATCTTCACGGTGGTCGGGCACCGCGTGGCCGCGCTGGTGGTGCTGGAGTTCTCCCTCCGGGCCGTCTCCACCATCCTCTCCCTGGAAAAGGTGCGTGGCAGCCTTGCTCTCCGGCTCGGGCAGCTGCGGGCGGACCATGCGCTCCCTGGAGGAGAGGCTGGGAGGAGAGGCGGCCGGGGCAGAAGTGCCCTCAGGGGGCTTCTGTGGGGTCGTTTTGGCGCGGACTCAGGCCGGGGCTCTGCTTCCGCAGGGGGAGCGCAGCAGCCAGCTGTACCTGCTCTGCCAGTACTCTCTGGGCTGCGGCATCTCCTGCGGCCTCAGCTACCTGCAGGAGGGGGCCCCGCACCGCACGTGGAACCTGCTGCTCAGCGCGGGCCTGGCCGCCGTCCTGACGGGCTACGCCTGGCGCCTGGCCCGCCATGTCTTCACCATGTACGAGCTGCACTGCGGCGAGCGCTACTGTGGGGCCTGCCTCTTCCTGCTGACCACCTGGCACGGCATCCCCCGGCTGCTGGGCAAGGCCGTCGGGGTCAGCTTCGTGGTGGCCGACCTGGCCGCCGTGGCCCTGATCAACCGCGACTTCCTCACCACCTCCGAGGCCGTCCGCTTCTGGACACCGCTCACCATCTGCTACACGCTCCTGCTCATCTACATGCAGGGTGAGTCCTCGCCACCCTCCGCTGAGGCCGTCCGCTGCCCTCCCGGGAGGATGCCGCACTGGCTGGAACCGTTTCCACGTTCTGTCTGTCTTCATTCACTGAACCTTTGTATAGAAGCTTAAGCCTCTGGCCCTTTCCTTGCCTCGGACAGTCGTTCTGCGGCAGTGTGGGAAGTCCTTGTAGCTGGCAAGGGCCTGGGAGGGCCGGTCCAACTCTTAGAAGGTGTGCGGGTGGCCTGAGAGACCCTCCTCTGCTGGGGCGGTGGGAAGATGCTTCCCATCGGGGAGGCAGCTGTGCGTCAGGCAGGCCAAGAACCTGAGCGGCAGCGGGCAGGTTCCCCCTGGCCTTTGGTTGGCCCTCTTCCTTGGCGAGGCTGAGGGCTTGGCGGCTGTCGCGCTTGGCGAGTGTCGGTGGCTTCTCTGCTTGCGTGAAGCCTTGTTATCCTGCTCCTCACGGACTTAAATGCGGGTGCAATCAGTTGTGTGCCAAGTGCAGAAGGAAGGAAAACAGACGAAAACGAGGCGGCCCTTTCCTCCAGGCTTGCAGCCGAAGTCGGGAGGGTTCAAGGGGGGAACAGCATGGAGGGAGAAGAGGGGGGAAGGCGTCAGCGTTCCGGCAGAGGTGCGAGGCTGGCCCTGCCTCTCCCCTCCGCTGCAGCCTGTGGGTCTCCAGAGCAGGACCTGCCCTGCCTGCCACACGCGGCCGGCAGAGCCGCCTGCAGCTGCTGAGCCCGCGGCCCTTTTGGCTGTCCCACGGCAGAGGAGCAGCGGCAGAACCCCACCGAGCAGATGGCCTACCAGACGGTCGTCGTCCGAATGGGAGGCCTCCTGGTCCTGCTGATGACTGTGGGCCGCTGGATGGACATCGTGAACGTCCTCATCTCGCTCGTCGGGGAGGCCTGGTGCCTGGCCCGGGCCAGAGTCATGCTGGACGTGTGCCGAGGGCAGGTGAGCAGGCTGCGGCCCTCGAGGGGGGGGGGCTGGTGCAGGGGGGCCCAAGGCCCCGGGGCAGCTGCCACGCCCAGGAGTGCCCTTCTTTGCCCCCTCCAGCCCAGTGCCTGACCCCCTCCAGCTGGGCGCCAGTGGCGCACAGGCAAGCTTGTTGGCCTGCGGGTTGGCAGGTCCTGGTTCTGGTCCCCGCTCAGCCATGCTGCCCACTGGGCGTCTTTGGGCCATTGCTGATGCTCAGCGAAACCCACCTCACAGGGCTGTTGTGAGGATGACACGGAGAGGAGGGCCCTGCAAGCTGTCTTAGTTTCTTGCAAGAAAAAGGCAGCCTAGAAATGCAGTTATGGGCAAGAAGAGCAGCAACTGCTGTCCCACCTAAGAGACGTCAAACAGACTACTGCCTTTGCATTGGCCTGTTTTTTTTTCTTTTTCTAAAACTGTGTGTTCCTCAATTAAATTGCTGCACGGTGCAGAAATCTCAAAAATGTCATGCCAGTTGATGCTGAAATTAATAATTTGTCTTGTTTCTTTCTTGGCACTTCAGGATTATTCGCAGAGATTCTCCCGCTCGGCGTCTGTCTCCCGCAGGGACCCCCGTCTTCATGACCAGCACCCTCCATCTCAGCCGGCAGCCACGGCATCCTGAAGCAGAGGCCCGGTGGAGGAAGCTGGCGGCGGAATCCAGTGCCTGGCAGTCCTGGGGGACGGGGCAGCTGGCGGTCCCTGGGACAGGTCTGGCCCGCCGCATGGTGTCCTCGATCTGGCAGCCTCGGCCTGCTTCAGGCCCCTCAAGGGCAGGCTCACCCCCGGAAGACGCGTTCGGTCTCGATCGGTCACTGAACGGCGGTTCGTTTGCTAGTGGCTACCTTGCCTTTGTCCCGTTAAGCTGCCTCCTTTCTTCGTAACATCTCTGGAATCGGCCGCTCTGGGTTCTCCTGGGGCAGCTGGAGCTTGGCCTCCCAGGCATCCTCGGCAGGATGGGTTGCGCTGGGGCGCTGCAACGTTCGCCTGACCGGGGAAGAGGTCCCCGCTCCCCTTGGGCGGAGCAGCTCTGGGCCCTGGGCCTTGCCCGGCCGGATGTCGAGGGCTCCCTGGGGAAGGGCCGCGCGGGGCCGGCTGTGGCCAGCCTCGGGCCCCGGGGCCGGGCCTCGAGTCCACTCCACACGCCTGCAGCCTGGAGGAGGGCAAGCGCGACGTCACATGCTGGGCCGCATGCGTTCCGGCGGAATGGCGGCTTGTGGTTACATGCAGACCCTGCACGGTGGGCCAGCCATGGGTTGTAGCCACATGTAATCCCAAACAGCCTCCCCGTGTTGCTTGTGGCGAACCATCCATGGGTAAGCCGTAGCAGAGTCTGTGTGTAATGTCAATGAAACGGCAACTCGGCCTCAACCCACACTCTGGGTTATCCTTACGTGCGACCCTGACCATCGGTGGGCGGGGGGACAGGGGGGCGGGGAGAACGCTGGATTTTGGCCACCTTGCTGGGCAAGAAACTCCTTCCCAACCTGACTATTCATAAATAATCCAGATATTTCCCGGTGACCCCACGGTCTCCAGCACTTCCTCTGCTCGGAGAGGTGGGGTGCGCAAGAGAACATGGCCCCTCAGGCAGCCCCCACTTGGACAGAATCATCCTCCCCAAAAATTTGGGTACTGGAAACAGAGCAGAGTCACAACCAGAGAGGATATTTTTAAAAATAGCTTGTTGTTAAAACAATCTTAGAGCCAAGAGGTAACTTTTCCAAGGTAGTGTAACCTTACCTGGATTATTCGCCTGGAAATTGCCAAATTTGCACCTGTTCTGTTGCTGACCCTGCAAATGGAGGCCTCGCAAGACCTTCCCAATTCAGTTGGGGGAAGGTGCCGAGAGCCAGTCCAGTTCCCTCGATGCGAATGCTCGTCCGTAGCAGCTACGATGCTAAGAATGAGCCGCCCAACTTGACCGGTGTCCCGCTGCTAGGAAGAAAAGGGGTTAAGTGATGCATGTTATCATTTTAGTTCTATTTTAGTTGTTGTTCTCTGAGTTGCTGAGAGTCTATGCTGCTGAGTAGCTGTACAAATTCAATAAATCGAAACGTTCCCAGCATAAGTGTAGACTTTCCCCGATGCGTTTGCGGGCCACAGTCCAAGGGATCTCAGTCATCCATTTATGTGCCCTTATTTACACGTGCTTCTGCAGTGGCTGAAAGCTGCTCTTACCCGTTGAGCGGCATTTTATCTTCCTCACCATATTTTGTTGACTGTGCTTTATTCTGTTAGCTGCTCCGGGACCGTATGAAGGCAGGCGGCTGCGGGGAGCGTTCGGGAAACCACGGCTGGAGCTCTCCCACTTCGTCTTGCTGACCTCCCGGGGGATCCCAGCATAGCCTGCACTAAGCCACTGGGCCCTTCCTGAGCAGCGCTGGCTGTGCCGGCGGGACAGGAGTGGAGGGCAGGCTGGGCTACAGCCCCGCACAGCGGTGGCCGAGGAAAGCGGTCAGCCGCCAGCCGCCACGGGCGCAGGCCGTCCCGGTAAGCACCCCAAGACGCTGGGCTTCCTTGCTCAGCAACCCCCAAATCTGCTTCTTGCTCTTCTTTTGCTTCCCAGTGCCTGCTGCTCTTTGCAGCTGTTGTGTCCCTTCTCAAACCCAGAGGGAAGCAGTCCTGAACTGGCAGCCGAGCAGCGGGGTGGCCGGCAAAGGCCCTGGCTGTGCCACCACGGAGCTCTGGCTGAGGAAGGGAGCCACGAGCGAGGCCAGCCCCGTGGCGCCTGGAGCCGGCGGCCCAGGTGATCGCCTCTGAGCCCACGATCGATCGGTGTCTGAGCCAGAGACGCTCGCTGGTGCAAGCCGACTGCAGAGATCTCTCCTGCATAGCTCACCCCACCCCAGCAGAGCAGGGTTTGTGCCAGGCATGTGCTGGGCACAGATTTTTCTGAGGGTGTGCTTCGAGAGTCATACAGACCTCCCCCCATCCTTTCCCCCATCTGTTTTTCAAACGTTTAGTATGTTTCCAGCACATAACTATTCCAGGCGACCCTCAAACCCTCTCACAAGAACCCCAGTGTTACCCAGTATACATTCACTACAGAGACCACCTGAAGTCGGGGAACATGAAATCACACTGTTGCAATTACAAAGTAATCTTAAAAAGTACTAAGTGTTAACAGAATGTGTAGATACAAACAAGAAAATATCTCTAAAAGAGCCGAGAAGTAAGCAAACACATGCATTCCCACAGGTCAAATTCTGTAGGCATTTCTGTCACTGCCCGAGGCAAGGAGTTATGCCAAGGTAAGTTCCCAGAAAACCTACAGGGCTCCAGAAGTCCTTCGTTTTCAACCCATCTCCAAACGGAGTCTAGGAAGAGACAAGAACAAGACAACACAGCCGGCATCTGTCTGGAAATTTACTCTGGACCTGGCGGGTTTTCTCCCTGGCTTTGAAAACTTCCCCGGTCAGCTGTCACTATCTCCAGACAGGCTGCCTGCTTGTTGGTTTCGCTGCTGCAGATTAAGGCTGCGGGGGATGCACAGTTACGTGGGAACAGACCCTGCTGAACACGGCGGGACCTGCAAGCTCAGGATTGCTCTGTAAGCGAGGTTTGCCCCCCTGGCCATCAAGGGCCGCCTTCCCCCATACCGACCACACCGAATTATTTACGACTCTCTTTTGCTACTGGTGGAGCCCTGCTGCTCGGTGAGCTTTTCGGGGCTTACTCAAATTCCGTCTTAAGAACTGAGTAGATATTCTGACTGAGGTTCTTCCCGCACTGTAAGGTTTCTCTCCTGCATGGATTATTGGATCCCTATTAGTGTGTCTCTGTGAATGATGCCGCTCCCAGATTCCAAGCAGTTACGTGGCTTCCCCCTATGTGAACCCCTTGATGTCTCGTAAGGTTTGAACGCTGGCTGAAGCGCTTCCCACACTGCAGGCACTGGAATGGCTTTTCCCCCGTGTGGATCCTCTGGTGTGAAGTCAGGCTCGAGCTCTGGCTGAAGCGCTTCCCGCACTGCAGGCACGTGTACGGTTTTTCTCCCGTGTGGATGATCTGATGCCTCGTGAGATGTCCGCTGTTAACGAAGCTCTTCCCGCACTCCAGGCATTTATACAGTTTTTCCCCCGTGTGGAGCCCCTCGTGTTTCGTAAGACTCGAGCTCCAACTGAAGCTCTTTCCGCACTCCCGGCATTTATACGGCTTTTCCCCGGTGTGGATTCTCTGATGTGAGGTTAAGCACGTACTGCGACTGAAGCGCTTGCCACAGTCTGGGCACTCGTAAGGTTTCTCCCCCGTGTGGAACCTCTCATGGAAAGTGAGGCTCGAGCGCTCACTAAACCGCTTTCCACATTCCAAGCAAGTGTGTGGCTTCTCCCCGGTGTGGATCCGTTGGTGTGTGGTGAGGTTGGAGCGCTGACTGAACCTCTTTCCGCATTCCAGGCACGTGTACGGCTTTTCCCCCGTGTGGGTGATCTGATGTATGGTCAGGTGGATCCTCTGCGTGAAGCCCTTTCCACATTCTACGCATGAAAACGGTTTTTCCCCCGTATGGATTATATGATGCGACATGAGGCTTGAGCTCTGACTGAAGCTTTTGCCGCATTCCAGACATTTAAATGGCTTTTCGCCCGTGTGGAGTCCTTGATGCTTAGTAAGACGGATTCTCTGGCCAAAGCGCTTTCCGCATGCCAAGCATTGAAACAGTTTTTCTCCCGCGTGGGCCTTTTTATGAGAACGGAGGTGCGTGTTCCACCTGAAGCTCTTCCCGCATTCCAGGCATGCGTAGGGCTTCTCACCACTGTGGGTTCTCTGATGCGAAGTGAGGTTCGACTGCTGGCTGAAGCGCTTTCCACACTCAGAGCACTGGAACGGTTTTTCTCCCGTGTGCGTTCTTTGATGGGAAGTGAGGCTGGCACTTTTAATGAAGCATTTTCCACACTCCAAGCATTTATACGGCCTGTCTGCCGAGTGGCGTGACTGCTTATGGAGGATAATAAGATCAGAGCCCTTATCATGGAAACCCTTTCCATGCTCTGCGGATTTAAGTATTTTTCCCCCTGGAGGGACTCTTTGACCACCAATGAAGTGCAATGCCTGCCAAAAGCTCTCCTCCTCGCCAGCGCGTCCCCTTTCCGGTGCATCGGCGCTTTGAGGGGCCTTCAGGCTCGCTGCGTGGCTGGAGGCCGCCACCTCTGCAGAGCAGCCACTGAGGCTCCTCACGTTGCTTCTTTCTTGTTTGGAGGGGGTGATGCGGTCGCTCTTTCCACACTCGCCAGATACATTTTCCCCTGCGTGGCTCCCACAGAGCGAATCAACGCTCTGCTTCCAGCTGGGCCTTTCCGCACACCAAGCGAGCGCATGCCTTCTTGCTGCAGTGGGAAGTTCTCGCCCAACCGGGTCTTCAGCACCCTGGCCGAGAACGGCCTCCTTTCTTGAAAGATCCCCTTGGCTGCCTTTGGGCAGCCCGGCTCGCTTGTGATTCCCAGAGGCCCCTCGCTCCGATTCCTGCTCACTGGTCTCCATCGATACCCCCAAATCTTCTACCTGCTTCCCGTGACCTGGGCGAGAAGAAAGCAAGTAAGACACGGAGCTCCTCCTCAGTGAGCTGTTGTGGAGAACTAGTGCCGGTTTGGCTGCTTGACCCACTCCGGTTTCTGCCCTGGCAAAGGGATGAAGTCAACTCTGGTAGCCCCATGGACCATCTCTGAGCAGGGCAGTGCCTCCTAGCTGATCCCCCTGGAGGTCTTGACTGCTTTGGACCACCACGAGATTGTATCTTCTTAGCAGAAGAGGTGAGGGATTGTCTGTGTGGATGGGAACCTTCACCCCAGTGGGGTCACCCCATCTTGGATGGTATAAAATGCAAAGGTAAAAATAGACAGCTGTCCAGGGAACCCTCTCCGCAAATCCCAGGTAACAAGGGGCTCTACCACACACCTGGGCAGCGGCCTGCTGGTCTACCTCCCACGAGAACCTGGACGATTTGTTCTCCACCTTCCTCCATCCAGGAGATTAGGGCAGGTTTGGAAATGAAGGACGGATGGGGAACTGGATTGGAGGAAGCAGACAACAGACCAGTTACTCCTGGCTGCAACATATTTGGGCAAGAAGAAACACGAAGGCTTTGCAGTCAGCCGCGAGTGACTGATTCCTGGCACTTCCTGCTTCTCAGAGGGAAATGCCCTCTGCAAGAATCCAGACGCGTTACTCAGAGCGTAGTCACAATGAGTGAACGTGGCAAAGCGCCGGAGGCTCCTGGGCTTGTGGCTTAGGAAGCACGGAGCAGGGTAGAAGCTGGAGGCTGCAGCCCTGAGCGCCGTTCCTCCCCTACCTGGTGCCATCCAGGTGTGTGGGAGTGCAGGTCCCATCATTCCCAGCTACTGCTTAATTCCAAGCAGACCTGCGTCGGACTGTACTGCATCTGTGTGCTTAGCCATTCATGGCCTCCGTGGTGGCAAAGCAGGGGCCACACGGTCCTTACCCACACTGGCCACGTGGCCGTAGTTTTCCAGCATGACGTCCTGGTACAGCTGCCTCTGGCCCAGATCCAGGAGCGGCCATTCCTCCTCAGTGAAATAGACAGCCACCTCCTCGAAGGCCACCAGACCCTGGAAGATGGAGGAGGCCCTGCTGAAGGCGAAGAGGAAACTGTGCCAGTTCCTTGGCAACGCGCCTCCCGCCCCGGAGGGCTGCCTGCTCCCGGCCCAAGAGGAGACAGCCGAGCCCTCCCATGGGCGCTGTGGCCCGGAGCTGCCCTCCCGCCACGGCCTCGCTTACCTCCATGGCCAGGCTGGACAGCTTCCGGCTCGCGGGGCCCCCGGGGCTTCTGCTAGAGCCTGGAACCCAGCAACCTGGCCGGGTGTGAGAGAGAGACAGCGGAACCTGAGGACGGGTCTCGAAAAGGCAGGCGCTTGCCTCTTTTTGACGGCATTTCGCTTAGCCCCCAAAACGAAGTTGCCCAAGGCTAGATTTTGCGCTTTGGAATTTAAACGTTCCTACAGCCTGCCTTTCACGCTGCAGCCAGTTTCTGCTGCCCTTCCCCTTGGTGGGGTGTCACCGTGGCTCCCCCCCTCTGTGGCTCCATCTTTGCCATTTACTGGCCCCTGCAGAAGCGATGGTCCTGCTCAGCCGCTCTTGGGAGGTGTGGTCCTGCACATCTCCAGGGCGCCACAAGTGGCAGAGCGGCTGTGGCTGCAGCAAGGCAGCACACCTGCAGGCCAGGCGTGGGCAGGCTGCCTACTCCATGTGCCCCAGCCACCACGGCCGGTGATGGGGCTGCGCTCCATGAAGTTCTGGGGGGCCCACATGTCCGCCAGCACTGCCAGGCCCCCTCCGCTGCCTCCCGCACTCCTGGAGCAGAAGGACAACGGGGAAGTCTGTCTGGATTGCGCATGAGAGGCCTGGGGGCACTCGGGGAGCCGGCCTGGGCACCCCTCCGCCAGGTGAGGCTGGCTGGCCGGCCGGGACAGGGCTGCGGCTGGCGCTGCGTGTGCGTCGTGTGGGCGCTTCGGCCACCCCTTTGCATCCTGCGCCACCCTGGCAATGCCAAGGGCCCCTCCGGCGGCTGCATGAGGCGGCCTGTCCAAAGGAGGGGTGTCTCCCCCCCGCAGTGCACCCAAAAAGCACAGTCCCGCATCGCCCCCTCCTCTCCTCACCGAGCCCTCAGCAGCTGGCCCGGCCACCGCCGGCTCCTCACTTCGGGTTCTCCTTGGACCAGCCATGGGAGGGGCTTCCCGCAGACGGGGAGGGGCGGCTCCATCGCTGCCGAGCGCCAGCACCTTCCCGCTGCCCCCCCACTTCCTGCCTTGCGCTGAGGGCTGCACTTGACAGGGAGCCAGAAGTGCCTCTGCGAGTGAGTCGGATGAGTGTGACCCTTTGGGCTGCGGAAGTTAACCATTTGATGGCCAAGCTGCGGCTGTGGCGGCCCAGAAGCGGGGGCCCTCCAGGTGTGCCGCTCCTGCTGGGAAGTGTCCTCTGCTGCACCTGCAGAACAGCAGCTCCTGAAGAACGCGGCAGTACCTGTGCCACGGCAGCCTGCTTTGGCGCAAGGGCTCCGATTCCGAAAACAAACCTGGCTGTGTCGGTTTTGTTTTCTGAGCCGCCTGGCCCACAGTCTGGCATCTCGGGCACACCCTGCGGCTCCCACACCACCACCACACGGCCTGAATTGGTGGGGCCGCTGAGTTCCCACTCATGTGGTCCAGGAGAGGAAGGGCCGGCAGGAAGCTGGCGCCGGGTGCCGGGAGGAGCCAGGGGCCAGCAGGGGGCAAGTGGCCCTGCCGAGGAGTTGCCTCCGCTCAGCCACCCTCTGCAAATTCGGAGCGTGGAAGGCCCCGCTCGGGAGAGAGGAGCACCTGTCCGGCACGAGGCCTGCCAGCGAGACGCCCCAGGAAAACGGGCATTGCCCAGAGCATGTGGAGGGCCATCCTTGGCTAGGCTAAAGGGGCCCCCTCCGCAGAGACCGCTGTGTGGCCGGAGCCCTGCAAAGCCACACCGGAGACTTCCTTGTCTTGGGGCGAGAAGGGCTCACCCCTCCCTCGATCCCCACGCCCCGCCTTGGCATCCCGGGATGTGCCTGGTTGCAGAGGGCCTCTTCCGCAGGGATCCCCCCCCCCACAAAAGGTCTGATGCAGCACCCAGTGTCCTCCCCACCGAGTGCTGCATCAGACCTTCACAGCACTGACCAGCCAGCAAGCGCTGATGCCGCTCGGCTGCTTCCAAGAGGGCACGCAACAGAAATCCACGTCCCCACCAGGAAACCTAAGCGCCCACCCTCCGGAAGCTGGGCCAGAGGAGGCTGAGAGGCGGTGGCCTCAGGGAAGCAGTGGCCTTCCCCTCCCCACGTGTCTCCAGAACGCCACGGGGAGGCCCCCAAGAAGGTGCAGCGGATGGGTCCAAAGGAGGGGGCGTGAGGCAGCTGAGCGGGAGCCAAGGCCCTTCCGGGGCTGAACAGGCGATCCAGAACTGGGTCCCGACTGAGACGGTGCCACTCAGATGGGGGCAGAAGACTCCCCGCTCCAGACTCCACACCTGGGTCCACCGCTTGCCGCACCTTAAAGGCAAACACGTTCGCTGGCGCCTTCTCCTGAAGGGCGCAGAGCTCTCCTGTCCTTGCAGGTCCTCCGGAACAAGAGAAGGGCGGCTCCGGAACTTCCTGGGGAGCTGGCAGGGCCGGGGACGCCCCACTGGAGACGCAGAGCCCGCCCGGGGCCCAGGCAGGTGTCCAGGTGAGTGTGGCGCCCGAGATCCCGCCCGGCGCCTCTGGTGCATGCCACTTCTGGGGAAGCGAGCCTGGAGCCCAGAGGAGGCGCCCCAGACCCTGGCAGGCAGGGCAGGCGGGCCGGCTACTCTGGCACGGGTGTCCCCGAGGCGGCGTGGAGGCCGCCACTTTGGCCAGCCTTAGAAGGGGGCCGTCTAAAGGGGGGGGGGGCGTTGCGACTCCAGCCCTGGTGGGCGCCAGGCAGGCTCCTGTGCCAGCTGTCGGGGAGCACAGGCGGGGGGTGCCGCCATGTTTCTGGCCCGGGGGGCTTGTTGGCCAGTCTGTGAGCAGAGCAATGGCCTGGGGGCTGGCCTGGTTCAGCTCCGGGGTCTTCGGAGGCTCCTGCTTGAGTAGCCAGGAGGGCGGCTTCCTGTGGGTGCCTCCCAAAAGGCCGGCAAGGGCTGGGTGGGGGCCCTGCAGAGCCGTTGCTGGGGGACGAGGGGGGCTGTAGTCGGGGGC